GGCAATGATTTCAGTATGTCATTTGGGAGATGATCCAAAGAAGCTCCTGTAGGGTGTGGAGAAGCAAGACTGGGGTGGGAAGGAAACCAACTCAGTGGTAGTGTACGCTACCACTCAGGGCAACCGAGGCTTAGCATTATCAGAGAACCTCTGGGAGACAGTGTGATACATACTTCAAAGTTGTTTCACCCGGAGGTGAGGAAACAAGTTTACTCATCCACTTCTTTACATCATTTCTCAAATGCTCCCAGGCTCATAGATTCCCCTCATTTGTGGTGTGTTTTCACTGGGGAAAGGCTCTTGGGTCCAGAGGAAAACTGCAGGTAGAGTTGTGGGTGTCTACAGTGAGAAGATTTTGTTTTTGTTTTTCTTTTTTCTTTTTAAAGATTATTTATTTGTCAGGGAGAGAGAAAGAGAGCACGAAAGCATAAGCAGGGGGAGCAGCAGGCAGAGGGAGAAGCAGGACCCTGGGATCATGAACTGAGCTAAAGGCAACTGCTGAACCAACTGTGCCACCTGAGAAGATTTTGGACATATGAAACATGCAACTAAATTTATAGCTCACTAGGTTTTGTTCCTTTCCCCATTAAGGGATTTTTATTATTTGGCATTCCACCTAGGTCTCCCTACAGAGAAGAATATGTCTTGTCCAGTTGATGCTGCCTCCAAAATATCTCTTGAATTATCTACCTTTTGTCTCTTGTCCAGGCTGCCAACATCCTTTGCACTGTATCAGTAGACACCTAACTGCTCTCACCCTTTCTGTTCTTGCCCTTCCCCACCCATCCATTCTTCCTCACAGCAGCCACAGCCTCCAATGAATCAAAAATCAAATAATATTATTCCCCGGGTTAAATCTTCAGGGCTTTTTCATTAGCTATAAGATGAACCCACATACAGTTCCTAAATGGTTTACTATCTGACCCTTGCTCAGATCTCACCATTTCCTTTCACTGTCGACTTTTCAGCTCCACAGGACTTGTATCATACCCGAAAGAATGTGCTTGAGGTCCACTGTAGGGCTTTTGTGTATTGCTCCTTTTTCAGTGTAGATCATAGATTTGGAATATTCTTCTCCCAAGCCTTCACCTATCTGTTTCCTTTTGAACTTTCTGGGCTTTTTAAATTTTCCTTTCTTACACAGGTCTTTTCTCACAGTCCTCCCAACCTTCCTGTCACCCTATCAACCCTCTGCCCTCCCCCCAAACCCCTAAAAACAAAATGAAATTTCCTAGCTCTACCCTCTCCTAGGATTCTGTACTTTTCTTTCTGAGCTAATCTCTGGACCTAATCACTGCAGTCTCCCCAGGTTGGTCCTCTGGCTCCAACTACTGTTCCCTTAGACGGGGATTCTCAAAGTCTCAAAGAAAGAAGAGCCCTCAGGGACCAGACAGGTTATATAAGTTAGTGGGTGGACATAGTAGCCTGGAGAGCACAGGACAGTCACTCACAATGGCTATTTGTTCCCAAAATTTGCTGGATTTGTTGATTTTTTAAAAAAGACCAAGAATCCTGATTTTCATATGCGATCTTCTAATTTCCATTGGAATTAAAAAACAATTAAAACCTCCTGAGCAGAATAACCAAAACAATCTTGTAGAAGGGCAAAGTTTGAAGTCTCATAACTCCTGATTTCAGAAATTATTATGAAGCCACAGTAATCAAAACAGGTGGTAATGGTATAAGGGCAGACATACAGAGTAATGGAATTGAATAGAGAAGCCAGAAATAAACCCTTGCATATATGGTCAAATGATTTTCAACAAAGATTTCAAGACCATGCAATAGGGAAAATACAATGTTTTCAACAGATGGTGTTAGGAAAACTGGATATCCACATGCAAAATGATGACATTGGACTCTTACCTTACACCATATAAAAAATGATCAAATGGATTAAAGATCCAAATATAAGACCTAAAACTATAAAACTGGGGAAAAGCTTCTAATGATTTCTTGGAAATGATAGCAAAAGCACAGGCAGCTAAAGTAAAAATAGATCATTGGACAACACCAAAATTAAAAATCTTTGTGCATCAAAGGGCACAATTAATGGAATGAAAAGGCAATCTATGAAATGGGAAAAAATACTTGCAAATTATATATCTGACAATGGATTAATATCTAGAATATAAAAAGAACTTCTACAATGCAACAACAACAAAATAACTTGATTTAAAAATGGGGGCCCAGGGGCACCTGGGTGGCTCAGTGGGTTAAGCCATTGCCTTCGGCTCAGGTCATGATCTCAGGGTCCTGGGATCGAGCCCTGCATCGGGCTCTCTGCTCAGCAGCGAGCCTGCTTCCTCCTCTCTCTCTGCCTGCCTCTCTGCCTGCTTGTGATCTCTCTCTGTCAAATAAATGAATAAAATCTTTTAAAAAATAAAAAAATAAAAAAAAATAAAAATGGGGGCCCAGAAAGAAAAAAATGGGCAAATGATTTGAACAGACATTTCTCCAAAGAAAATATACAAAATGCCAACAAACATATGAAAAAGTGCTCAACATTACTAATCATTAGAGAAATACAAATCAAGACTTCAATGAGATACCACCTCACACCCATTAGGATGACTGCTGTTAAAAACAACAACAAACCCCAAACCAGAAAATAACAAGTATTATCAAGGATGTAGAGAAATTGGAACCCTTGTGTCCTATGTAAAATGATGCAGCTGCTATGGAAAACAGCAGGTGGCTCCTCAAATATAAAAATAGAATTATCATATGATCCACCAGTCCCACTTTTGGGTATATATCCAAAAGAATTGAAGATAGGATCTTGAAGGGGTATTTGCACAATAATGTTCATAGCAGCGTTATTCATAATAGCAGTAAGATGGGAGCAATCCAAAGATCCACTGGCAGACAAATCAATTTTAAACAAAGTGTGGTATATACATGCAATAGAGTGTTATTTAACCTTAAAATGAAAGTTTTTGACACATTACAGGTAATGAAATTGGAGGACATTATGTTAAATGAAATAAGCCAGTCACAGACAACTACTACATGATTTCACTTACGTGCATTATCTAGAGTGGTCAAACTCATGGAAACTGAAAGTAAATTGGTGATTGTCAGGGGCTGGAGGAAGAGGAAATAGAAAATTAACACATAGTTTCAGTTTTGCAAGATTAAACTTTCTGGAGATAGATACAGTACAATGTGGATATACTTAACACTACGGAGCTGTATACTTAAAAATGGTTTATAAGTTTTATGTGTATTTTGTCACAAATAAACACAATTTGTTTTAAATTTGAAAAAGTAATAAAAGCCCCCAAAAGCCCTGAGCAGGCCAACAAAACACATTTATCATGATGTACAGTTTGAAGTCTTTGCCTTCCTAACTTGAATCTCTAACTTGATCATGTATCACAATAACCTGGTGGGCTTATTAAAACAGATTGCTGGGGCACCTGGGTGGCTCAGTTGGTTAAGCAACTGCCTTCAGCTCAGGTCATGATCCTGGAGTCTCAGGATGGAGTCCCCACATCAGGCTCCCTGCTGGGGGTGGGTGGAGTCTGCTTCTCCCTCTGATCTCTTCCCTCTCATGGTCTCTCTCTCTCTCTCAAATAAATAAATAAAATCTTAAAAAAGAAAAAGAAAAACCAGATTGCTGGGCCACACCCAGCAAAGTTAGAAATTGCATTCCTAATGAGTTCCTAGGTGTTGTGAGGCTACTGCTACTGATCCAAGAATTATATTTTGAGGGCCACATTAGATAATGGCACAAACGACTTTTTATTAATTTCTATGCATCTGTTTGTGATACATTTTTGGTTCTGGGGTCTGTGAAACTCTTAAGTGTTTGTCGTGCCTTCATGCCATGTGACCCTGTTTCTCTGGCCAGTAATATGCTATAGACAAAGGGCTAGACCTAGTAGGCTGGGCATGGAAACTCTGCACAATTTTGCACAATATATAGTAAATAATCCAAATAGAGTAATCCAATCCAATTTTGAATGCGAGACACACTAAGGCAGGTCAGGTCTTAGCAAAGGCTAAGAGAAGCTTAATTCTGAGGGAACTGGTCAGGTGACCAGAGCCATCTCATTTTACCTTCAGTAGTGTGAATCACATTCCACCACCATGAGGGCTGTGGGGTCGCTAACATGCTTCCTGTGCCCCCCTACTTCCTGGTGTGACCCTATTATAAACCTGCATCTGTCTCTTTTCTGTGTTTCCTGGAAGATTCTCTCACCCTATTTTGATAGCTCTGGTATCTCTATCATACCGTTAACTGCTTTTCTATGAAAGGAAATAATATTCCGTCTTGATCAAGAAATGTTGACTCCTTAAGGTTCGGTCTTTATTTAGAGAAAAATTATAAACTATGCCTTCACCCAAAGATAGGAATTTTTCTATCCGCCAAAATGCCTTAGAATAACTGCAATACATGACTCTTACGGAACATCCCGGAATGGCTATAAAAATCTGTAAACCCATCTCGTCCCAGCAGCCTGCTGCTTCTCTCCTCCCTAACTGCTTGTCAGCCAGTTCGTTTAGTAAAGACAGCATTAAAACAACCTTATCAGGTTTCCTCACAGCAAGCCTCTCCAGACATTTCTCCCTAGAGAAAAGAGAAAGTCGATTACAGTTTTGAAAGAGGGCAGGAAAACAATGCCACAGCAGGTACTTTCTACAGCGGAAAAGATGGCTTTAAAGGTAGCGAGCTTCTACTAACAAAGGGAGTGCTAAGGCGCTGCACAGTTGCCTAGAAACGGCCACAGAGAGGATAGTTGCCGGAAGTCTCTCCGGATTCAGACACAGAGGTGTTAGTGAAGAGGCTCTCGTATGGAGAGAAGCAGTGCTCGTCCCCAATGGGATCGTTGCGGGAAACCGCTAGGACCGGAGGGACCAATTGGCGCCGACGCTTCCCGATCCGGGCATTGGGAGAGACCCTTTCAGCCAATCTTTGGACGGGTACTGGTGATGTCACTGGTCGATCGCTGGCTTGCGCGTGACGTCATCACGCAGCGCCGGAAGTGGTGAGGCTTCGAAGAGTGACCTGGGTTTGTCTGTGTCCGCCGTGTCGAGGTAAGGCGCTTCTCGGCCTACCTCCTCTACTTGCAGGGTGGAAAACCGTAGTTGTGGGCCCTGGAGCGGGGCCGTTACTACCCTTGAATGATGTTCCTTGAATGACGCTTTTATGGCTTTTTTCCGGCCTGGCTTTACAGTCCTTGGGCTCCAGGCGTCTCACTTTGCTCAAGCTCCCATGGGCCGTTTTTCGGAGGCCCTCTCGTTGGTCGCCGTCCCACCTCACGTTCGTTCACGTGCCCCTCACTCCTCCGCCCCCCCAGCCCCAGGCTTGGTCACAACGCAAGCAGAAAAAAGATGAGGGACCTGAGGTTTCTGTATAGATGGGTAGTGATGCAAGCTGTTTACAAGGAGATTATAATTTCATTTGGAGAGTAGAATTACATCCACATTTAATTCTCAGGGAACTGTGAAGATAAATTGACCACACCCTATGGCATGTAGAGAAGACAAGATAGTTCAGTGAAGGCCTCCCTGGAGGAGGTGGGACTTGGAAATTGAGAAGGATTTGGGATTCTAGGAAGGGGGAAAGGGTATAACCCAATGCCCTCATATTAAGAATGACTTGGGAGACATGACTCAGTACCTCATAGCTTGAGGGTTGTATTTGCGCGTAAAAATAAAGTTATGTGAGTCTGGGGGGAGGGGAGGGTGGGTTAGTTCTATGAAGGGAAGTAGAAGGTGACATAAGTAACCTTTGTGGGGTTAGAGTATGAGGGTCTTCACCTCAAGCCTGAGGAATTTGGGACTTACCAGGCTGGGCAAATTTCTGGGGCTGGGTTGGATATCATGGTAGCCATCAGCCACATGTAGCTTTTTAAATGTAGGTTTAAAAAAAATCTAAGAACTTTAGTTCCTCTATTGACCTGGCTACATTTTGGGTGCTTGATAGTCACTTGGTAGCTACGTTATTAGACAATGCAGGTTTACAACACTTCCATTATTGCAAAAAGTTCTACTGGACAGCACAGTTCCATGTTAAATTTATGGGCTTGTGTGGCTTATCAGATCACTTTGCTTCCTTAATATATAACCAGATTTTTTTCCTGACCAATCCCTGGAACTCTGGAATGTAAAGTAGGGAGTTGGAAAACAGAGAGTTAGGATTTATCCTCATAGATGTGAGGATGGGATTGCCCAAAGAGAGGAGCAAAGGACCACATGGAAGTGGAGCCAAAGCAGGGGAAAGAGAAGGAAGGGACAAGAACCTGAATAGGATTATCATTTGGTGACCTACTTGCAAATATATATTATTCTTGCATGACAAATATTAAGTTCTGGAGATACATTGGTAAGCAAAAAAATGGGCTTGCCTTCTTTCATAGTACTTGCAGTTTATGGAGTTTTATTGGATGGACTATTTTAAAGATTCAGGAGCACCTATCATTATGTACTCCCCATATTCTAAAATGCTTCATTCCTAGAAATTGGAACTGGAGGCTAAAATGGGCCAAAATGTTGCTTAAGGTTAGTTGTGTAAGCATTGTGCAGTCACTGCTTTAGCTTGTCAAGAAGTAGTAAATGGGAACATCATAACTTGAGAACTTTGATGGGAATGAGTGTGTGTATAGGTCAGGAGGCGTAGTTCCTATTAGCCTGCAACAGCCAGCCATGCTCTCAGCTGCCCATCAGATTCCTTCCTGTCCCTGCTCTCAAACTGTGCTCTCTCCACATTTCTTTTGTTATTACTGTGAGTAGTCAGTCACCATGACTTATTTCCCAAAGCCTGATGAAGACATACTTCACTTCTCAGCCCATTGCTTGCTCATTCATCAGTTTCCAGCAAGTGCAGACAGATGCTCCTCTGAACACATAGCATTTAAAAGTGGGACTTGCCTATAGTATCATCATCATTTGAGGCTCCAGGTTTAAGATTTTAGGTTTACAGCTGACTTTTCATGCTTCTTGTATCCACTCCTTCACAAAGACCTGAACTTTTGGACCTCACTGTGGTCATTATGTTGACAGCTTTGTGACTCTGACTCTAGGCTTCTCCACTCCAGTCTGCCTACGCACAGCTGTTGTTTCACTTCAGTAGGCAGCTCAATAATTTGGCAGTTGTCTCCTTGTTGATAATGTTAAGTCGAAACTTTTCAGCCTGGTGTTTCAATACCTCTGCCATTTTCTGGTGATTCTCTGGGGCAGCTCCTCTAGGTCAACTAACAAGGTCTGCTTTCTACCCTTCACCCATGGCTTATTGCTGAAATCTGTGTTTTCATTTGTGCTTTTTTTTTTTTTTAAAGTTTTATTCATTTAAGTAATCTCCACACCCAACTTGGGGCATGAACTCATGACCCAGAGATCAAGAGTCACATGCTCTTCCGACTGAGCCAGCCAGGTATCCCTGGCGCCTGTGCTTTTAAAAATGGAATGTCCCCTCCCACTTATTTTCTTATCAGTCCTCTCCACCTTTTTATTTGGGTGGTTTCCAAACCCTTTGCTGACTGGTGGAATTTTCTGTAACTTTGCACCTCCTCAGCACTCATTTGCTCTCTCCTTTGCATTATCCTTTCTTTGCAGATGGTAATGAAATTCTGATTTTTAAAAATCTTGTTCCTTTTTTTTCTTCCCTTTGGACACAGCGCTTGTCCAGAGGCCTGATAAGTGCTGCCTTGCCTACAGAGCACATTTCTCAAAGAGAGGGTGTTAGAGACTTGAGCAATATGTTTCTGGAGGCATCCCAAAGATCCTAGTCCTGTCCCTGCCCGTAATTCCCTGCTCTCCCTCTCTGGGTGATCTCATGCTCTCTCTTTGCCTCACCTTCTCTGACATGTTGATGCCTCTCAAATATATATATATATATATACTTAGCCTATTCCTCTCCCTGAGCTTTCTGCCCATATATCCTACCTCGACCTATATATCTTAATCTAATTGTGTTTCAATGAGAAATCATCCCTTCTTCATCTGCTATTTAACTTCAAATTATGTTTTCTTGTGTATTTCATTGTGGTTAATGGCTGTTTCCGAATTAGAAGTCTTGATTTATTTCCGCCTTTACTCCTTTGTCATTCCCCAAATATAGTTGGTAATTAAGTCTATAGTCACAGTTTCTTCTTCTTCCTCTCCATTCCCTTTGCCCTGCCTTTGTTAGGTCTCATCTCTCTCCCAAATTTCTTGTCTCTTTCCCTTCTACTGATACCCTATGTGGCCATCAAGGTTGTTTTCTTCCTTTCTTTCAGGACTTAATTATTTATTTTAGATAGAGAATGCTCACACGCACATGCAGAGGGGGTGGTGAGCAGGATGGGTGGAATCTTTAAGGGGTGGAATCTTTTTTTTTTTTTTAAGATTTTATTTATTTATTTGACAGAGAGAGATCACAAGTAGACAGAGAGGGAGGCAGAGAGAGGGGGGAAGCGGGCTCCTTGCTGAGCAGAGAGCCTGATACTGGGCTCGATCTGAGGACCCTGAGATCATGACCTGAGCCAAAGGCAGAGGCTTAACCCACTGAGCCACCCAGGCACCCCTTAAGGGGTGGAATCTTAAGCAGATGCCTCACTGAGCACAGAGCCAGACACAGTGCTCCATTTTTGGCCCTGAGATCGTGACCTGAGCTGAAATCCAGAGTCAATGCTTAATTAACCAGCTGAGCCACCCAGGTGCCCCTAAAGGTGGTTTTCAAAAGAAAACCGGTTCCTTCACTATCGTACAGGTTTGTATTGCACAGAGGGGCCACATTTACACTTTAGACATTGTAGGTTTATATATTTTTTGTGACAGCCTTCTGGTAGATGGCAGTAAAATTATTATTCTAATACTGGTATGTTACAATGATTAAGGAGGAAAACCTGATACACATAAAGATGCCCGTGGACTGAAGAACATCCTCTATTCCTATGACTTTAATTTTCTGCCAGGCAAACTCTTTCTCACGCTTTAAAACTCAGCATAAATATCCCTTCCTATTAAGCTGTTTTTGATATTCCTTACAAGAGTCAGTTATTCCTTTCCCTGAGCTAATACCATATTTAATTAATCCCTTATTATGGTGCTTATCACATTATGTTATAATAATTGATATTTGAGTCTATCTGTCCCACTAAACTCCAGGTCCCTCAAGGATAGGAACGTTGTTTAATTATTCTTTTATCCTCAGCGTGTAGGCTAATGGTCAGCACATAGAGTATATCAATAAACATAAATATTTGATTACTGGGACGCCTGGGTGGCTCAGTTGGTTGGGTGTCTGCCTTCGGCTCAGGTCATGATCCCAGGGTCCTGGGATTGAGTTCCACATCAGGCTCCTTGCTCAGTGGGGAGCCTGCTTCTCCCTCTGCCTGTGCGCTTTCTCTCTCTCACTGACAAATAAATAAAATCTTTAAAAAATTTTTTAATTGCTTAGCCTGATTTAGGCACAGAGGTAAATATATACATTATCTTATTTAATTCTCATAAGAGCCTCATGAGTCCTGTCATTGTCATATTCTACAGGTGAGAAAATTGAGACCTAGGTGAAGTCGCTGGTAGATGGCATGTGTGGTAGTGCTGGAGTATGGCTCTGGAGGACTTGTGCTAATTTTTCCAGTGATTCTCTTGTGTTTTTTTTTTCTCTCAGAGTAATGATGCGGGTGTGCTGGTTGGTGAGACAGGATAACCGGCACCAGCGAATCAAACTTCCACATTTGGAAGCAGTCATGGTTGGGCGTGGTCCAGAGACCAAGATCGTTGACAAGAAATGTTCTCGACAACAAGGTAATTGGTCATAGCAATGCGCAGATTACTGTGTTTTTTTCCTCAGGATAATGATAACCAAAGATGCACATTTCTTGGATGCTATTGGTAGGATCTTTTTGTCTGCCATAAACAAAACTCAGAAACCATTCTGTTAGCTAACACCAGGGACCCATTCACCCCTGATTCTCCCCCCTGGAAGTGGTTAATATTCAGTGTTGGGAATAGGCAGGTTCCTTCCTTTTACTATGGGGTGGTGGACCTGAATCCTGTACTCTGCTTTGCCCAGGAAGATTCCTCTCACTGGGCAGTGAGACAGTTGAATTCTGGGACCTCCAGCCTGAAACCATGTCTGAGAAGTGATGGGGTAGTTCCATCCTTTACATGATGGCTCACACAGAGGGGGTTATCTTTTTAAGACTTTGGCATCTAGCTCTTGAATTTGCCTTTCCTGGGATTTGATGAAATGAAGGTCCTTAGGAAAAAGCCTTACCACATACCTCATTTTTCACATGTAAACTCTGGACATGCTCACTGCTACCAGGCCCCCACATGTGTGTTCCCCATAACAGGGTTTCTCAGTGCTTGGAGTCTGTAGTACTGGTTTTTCCCACATGAGTTAATCTAAATGGGGGGGGGGGAGCCATATTGAGCTGTCTAGGTCCAAGATACAGAAGCAGACACTGCTTTTCACTCTCTGTCCCCTTTTCATAACAGCAACTGTAAGGACTTGTGTGTCATCCTGTCTTCTGCCTGTCCTTCCCAGATAGCAGCTGTGGTGTCTCTGCACCCTGTCTCCCCCTAGAAATTTTGTTCACTTCTCTGAACACAAGTGTTTAATGTTATTTCTTCCCATATATGCTCAGACTGTTCTGTTCCTGCAATCCTCTTTCTAGAATAATCACTGTGCCTACTAAGGCCAGCTGAACTTCTCTTTTCCAGGAATGGATCCTTTGGCTTTCTCTATTGAAGGCATCTTATAGTTGTATTAAATAGTGGAAGCCTGATGTAATCATGCACCAAGAGTCTGAGAGAGAACTGGGTTTCTTTCCTGACTATAGAGTTTGTTATCCTGAGTGGGTTAAGGGTGCTGGAATAGCCAGACTTGTGAGGATTCTGTGAAGCTGCTTCATAGGGATATTAGCAAGAGCTAAAGGAGTATGTGTGCTGTTGACATTTTATGGAAGGATTTGGAGCCCAGCCACCTGTATAACAGGCAGTTTTGCTCATAGGCCTTTGAGGAAGCCCCAGTCAAGTTGCCTCCTGGAATGAGGCTTCATTATACTGTAGGGAGAATAGGAGCAAGTGCTTGGTTCTTTGTGGCATTTAGGTTTAACTTTTTTTATATCTCTTTCAGTACAGTTGAAAGCAGAGTGTAACAAAGGATACGTCAAGGTAAAGCAGGTATGTGTATTTGTAATTTGGATTTCCATTTTATACTTGATGATTTTCTTATGCTGTTGATTTTAGAGTGTTTGTGCCAGCCAATAAAAGCTTCTCTGTCATGTGTGGAAGTGAGCATTAAGCATGGTGCTTGGCGTGCTGTAAGTGGTTAACATAGCATTGGCTATGCTGCTAGTGGTATTATTGCTATCATTGTGATTATTTTTTGATTATTCTATAGGTAGGGGTCAATCCCACCAGCATTGACTCAGTCATAATTGGGAAGGACCAAGAGGTGAAGCTGCAGCCTGGCCAGGTTCTCCACATGGTGAATGAACTTTATCCATATATTGTAGAATTTGAGGAAGAGGCAGAGAGCCCTGGCCTGGAAACACCCAGGAAGAGAAAGAGGTCAGGCAGCAGTGATTCTATAGAAAGAGATGCTGCCCAGGAAGCGGAGTCCTGTACAGGACTGGAACCTGGGAGTGATCCTAGCCAATCTGCTCTGCCCTCAAAAAAGGGGAAAGATGTATCTACCAAAAAGGTGAGGGCCGTGTGCTTGATGGATGATGTGGAGATTAAATGAGATGTGATGACTACCTGATTGTTTTGTACACTGTAAAGCCCAGGTATGCGTAAGAGGTTATTAACTATGACAAGGCTTATTAACCATGATGAAAGAGTCACTTGTTTGTGTCACCAGTCACTTGAGTGAAGGTCCCTTTGTGTACTTTACTGTTGAATTCCTGAGGTAAGCCACTTGAAGGTAGAGATAATGGCGGTGTAGTTACCACTGAACTGCTGAAATGGGTCAGTCATATGTTTATCTGTAGAAGGTTAGCATTGGAATGCTGTTCATAGATCATGTGATTCACATCCTCATGTCAAAGTGGAAGTGTAGTTAGGCTGTAGGTGGAGTGGGAGAGGGCAAAGAAGATGCAGTTGACACTCTGGCATCTCCAGCCTTTGTCTAGACACACAACTGTGAATCCTGTATAGGAAGAAAATGGAGCTGGTTTAGATTATAAAGGCAAGTGATTGAGTAAAGGGGATATAGCTTAATTCTTAAAACCTAATCTCATTACTAAGTTCAGTTGGGCTTTGCTGATGTACAATATTAACTAATCCTGAATATAACTTGACATTTGCAATTTGTATTGCCCCTTTTTGTTTCAGGAATCATTGGGCCACTGGAGTCAAGGCTTGAAAATTTCTATGCAGGATCCCAAAATGCAGGTCAGAATAACATTTTGGCATTGAAATACACTTCATGTTTTAAGTGGCTAATCCACAGAGGTCATAACTACAAATGAAAGCAAAGGATATCAGTCCTTCTGAATGAGGTTCGTTTTATTTGGCTATTTTCTGAGAACAAGTGGTTTTTCCCATTATTAGTAAGTTAGCAACTGGATTCTTTGAAGAGAAACTAAGTTCTTCAAATGAATATCTCCTCTTCTTTGTTCCTTCTAAACTTCTGGGTACTATTAAGGGAAGTTGTGTTAACCTTAGTGGGGTTTCTTTCAAGGGAGTGTCAGGTAATATATTGTGACTGTAGTTGCTGGGCTGCCCTGGGATTAATAGTCAGGCATCATCCTGGGAGGGGTGTTTGAGTTCTTAAATTACATCCTGGGTGACAAGGAGCCAGATCTGATAGGGCTTCTTGGAACACATGATGTGACAAATGGTCTACTGGGTTAGAGTGGAGAAGGGTGCATTTGAATTAATGCTTGCAAGGACGTTACAGCAGATCCTTAGGAACTATTTTGTACTGTGCGTTTTCTGTGTATTCTTTGTAGTGTGGTGATTGAAAACACACACTCTGGAGTCAACTAGACCTGGTTTACAATCGTAGACTTCCCACTTTGTTAGCTGTGACTTTGCAAGACACTCATCCAAGTGTCAGCTCTCATCTGATAAAACTGTGATATGGAAACCTTTTACATAAGACTGTGTTGGAAATTAAGTGAGTTAGTGAATATGACAGCTCCTGGCGTGCAGAAGATGTGTGGTAGATGTCTGTTTCCTTCTCTTATGCCCCTCTTCTAGGTTTACAAAGATGAGCAGGTGGTGGTGATTAAGGATAAATATCCCAAGGCTCGTCACCACTGGCTGGTCTTACCGTGGGCTGCCATTTCCAGTCTGAAGGTTGTGACCAGGGAACACCTTGAGCTTCTCAAACACATGCACACTGTGGGGGAAAAGATGATCACAGATTTTGCTGGGTCCAGCAAACTCCGCTTCCGATTGGGTTACCATGCCATTCCCAGCATGAGGTAAGTGTTGTGGGTAGTGCTAGCGCATTCTTGTTCTGCCTGGCCAGACAGATGGATTCAGCCTGATAGTCCTGTGCTGATATATCAGCCTGTGCTGATAGTGCTGAGGCCCAGGGAACTAGGGTGGGATGTTTCCAAGGAAGGTGGGCTGAAACTTCCATCCTTCTGTCTGACTTGCCTGTAATTTTTCGTGCCTGTGACTTTTATTAGATTTTTCAGAAGCATCTGTAAACCCTAAACGATTAAGGACCATTGCTTTGAAGGAGACAAACATCACTGATTTTTGTCTTGACAGCTCAGTAGACCTAGGGTTTAAAATAAAATGAGAGAAAAATATAGAGCCTGTTTGCCTTTGGCTCATACCCAGAAGGACTCAGAAAGGAATAACTGAGTCTTTTTAAAGAATGCAAGCAAGGCAGATCTCCATAGCTCTTTAGAGCTAAGCAACAAGATAAGCAGACTAATTGGATTTTGGAGTTTTTATCTTGTATTTGTTCGTTTGTTTTTCTGGTGATAAAATATACCTAACAAAATTTACCATTTTAACCATTTTTAAGTATACGGTTCTTTGGCATTAAGTACATTTACATTGTTGTGCAACCATCACCATCATTTGCTTCTCAAACCTTTTTAATCTTCCTAAACTACATCCCATTCCCCTACAGTCTCTGGCAATTACCATTCTACTTTCTGTTTCTATAAATTTGACTACTTTAGGTGCTTCATGCAAGTGGAATCATACAGTGTCTGTCTTTTCGTGACCAGTTTATTTCATTTACGATAATGTCTTCAAGGTTCATCTCTGTTGTAGCATGTGTCAAATTTTCTTCTGGTTATTTTTTTTTTTAAGTGCCCAAGATTCTTCACGTTTTATTCAGGTAATTATGACTTATGTGATGGACCACTTTAACCAAATGAATTTTTTGTGCCACATTTTTTCCCCATCAGTACTTTTTTTTTTAAATTGAGGCATAACTTATATACAACAGATTCACAAGATTTATAGTTTGGTCAGTTTTGACAAACATATATACCATGTAACATCACTCTGATAAAAATACAGAACATTTCTGTCATATCCCAAGTTCCCTTGCACTTCTTTTCAGTTAATCCTCCCCTCAACCCTCAAGCGTTGTTCTGATTTCTTTCTGCATAGGTTAGTTTTGCCTATTCTAGAACTTTATATAAGTGGAATCATACAATGTATACTTTTCTTCTGTCGGGCCTTTTTGAGCATTATGATTTTGAAATTCATGTATGTTGCTGTGTATGTCATGCACATCCTTCCATTTTTTTTTTTTTTTTTTTTTTAAAGATTTTATCTATTTATTTATTTGACAGAGAGAGATCACAAGCAGGCAGAGAGGCAGGCAGAGAGAGAGGCCGAGAGAGAGGCAGAGAGAGAGGAGGAAGCAGGCTCCCTGCTGAACAGAGAGCCCGACGCGGGGCTCGATCCCAGGACTTCGAGACCATGACCTGAGCCGAAGGCAGTGGCTCAACCCACTGAGCCACCCAGGCGCCCCACATCCTTCCATTTTTTTGGTCTTCAGTAAATTCCTAGAAATGAAGTTGCTAGGTCACAGGGTTGATGTATGTTGGGCCTCATTTTAAAAAATGCAGTTGATCCTTGAACAACATAGGGTTGAATTTTGCCAGTCCACCTATATGCACATGTTTTTTGATACAGTAAAATACTGTAAGTGTATTTTCTTTTCATTGTGACTTTCTTAATGTTTTCTTTTCATTACCTTACTTTTTGTAAGATTTCAGTATATAATATATGTAGCATGCAAAATATGTGTTAATGGACTGTTCATGTTATTGGTGGGGCTTCTGGTCAACAGTAGGATATTAGTAGTTTTGGGGGAGTCAAAAATTACATTTTTGGATTTTTGATTGTGTGGGGGGTCAGTTAAGGATCAACTCTATATAACTTTTTATTGTTAAAGCCTTATTCAGAAATTTAGGGCAGAAGTCACCCATAATCATAATCCTATTTCTCCAGTGCTGCACAGCCCATGGCTAAAAGAGATCTTTGACTGTAGAGTGCTTTTCACATGGTAATCTCAGTGTCCATACTTTTTTTATGTAATAAAAACTGTTATTCCAAGAATTTTAAAAAAGAGCCATGGCAACTGTGGGTGGGAAGCAAAATGAGCAGTAAGTTGCCGTTTTACATATTCTTTTACGATCACTATTTATAACTTTGAATAAACACCATGGAAAGGAAAAGGTAACATATTTTTTTTTTTGTAAAGGTAATATATTTTCCATTTAGAAAATACAAAAAAAGTGTGAAGCAGAACAAAGATCTTCCATAATATCACCACTAATTAAACTCTAGATCTTATTTGAATTTTACCTTTTTTATTTTTTAATATTTATGTTTTTCTGCTCCAGGATCTAATCCAGGATCCTGCATTGGATTTATTTGTTGTCTCTCCTTAGTTTCCCCTAACTTGTGACACTTCTTCCTCCATTCCTAGTTTTTATGACCTTGACACTTTTGATGATTACTGGTTGGTTTTATAGGATATCTCTCATTTTGGGTTTATCTGATATTTTTCCTTGATTAGATTGAGATTATGCCTTTTTTTTTTTTATTCCCCAAATATCACAGAGGTGATGTTGCTTCCTTCTCAGTACATCATATCAAGGAGTAGGTGAAGTTGAGATGGCTTATTACTCGTATTAACCTTGATCACTTTGTTATGGTGATGTCTGCCACATTTCTCTCCTCAAAATTACTATTTTTCCCTTTGTTATTGATGAATGTCTTGGATAGTTAGGGACTATGCTAGTATCTCATTTCTCCCCAGACTTTTGCCCAGTGATTTTAGCATTTATTGGAAGGCCTTGCCTGTGAGAGTTATTACTGTGGTGTTCACCTACTGGTGATTTTATGTTTCCCTCATTTTCTTTAATTTATTAATTAGAATTCTTCTGTATAAAAGAGTTGTCCCTTTCCCCCAGTATGTATTTATTCAGCTATTTGTCAATGTGGACTTACGGATATTTATTTTATTCTATAGGTTTTTTTTTTTTTTTTAAGATTTTATTTGTTTATTTGACAGATTGAGATCACAAGTAGGCAGAGAGGCAGGCAGAGAGAGGAGGGGAAGCAGGCTCCCTGCTGAGTAGAGAGCCCGACGTGGGGCTCGATCCCAGGACCCTGAGATCATCACCTGAGCCGAAGGCAGAGGCTTAACCCACTGAGCCACCCAGGCGCCCATATTCTATAGGTTTTAATTTAGCCTATCATTATTCATTTTGTTGCTCAAACTGTTCTAACCTTAGTCCTTGGAAGCTCCTTTAATTTGGGTCCTGAATCATTTGACAGGGCCCCAACATTTTTTGAACACTTCTTTATTTTCTGGAACAAGATGTTCCAGGCCTATCCTGTATTTTTCCTGTTCTAGCCCTGGAATGAAACTTTTATTTTATTTCTTTCCTTTTATTGGAGATATTTATAAACCAAGACTTGGATACTAGGTTTCTATATTGAGAGAAGTTGGTTGATCCCAGAGTATTTTTTGCTTCTAGGTCCTTTCGGCAGATAGGGCCAGGAAGTACATGAATGAATCCTAATCCACACAGATACCACACTTCCCTGTTTTTTTTATCTACTTGTGTATGTGTATGGAAAAACCACATATTTATACTGATATCTCTGACTCCAGTTTAATTCTGCAAATTTCATTCTTGTCTCCCCCTTTCCTTTATTTTAGTTTCTTTCTCCAAGGATGAAAAATCTGGCTCTCATTAGCTCTAATAAATTCACTTTCCTGTTTGGTCTTAGTATACACATAAAATAGTTACAGAATTGCTAACTGTTAACCCTGTGAGAAAGACATTTACTCACAGTATTTCTATATAGTTCTTTCCATCTTTATGGTATCCAGACTAGTTTTCCAAAGTTCATTTCCCAAGTTATTTTCTTCCTGACCTCCTTCAGTGTGGTTCCCTTATTCATTTGTAATACTGTTAGGTTTATTGTTTGTTACTGCCTTCATTCCATTTTGGATTCCTGGATGTATTGGTTGGTTTTGATTATTTATTGGGAGAATAGAACAGAATGATTCTAAGAGTCAAATTTATGCAAAAAGACATCCTACGGGTTTAACAAGTCCAAAAGAGAACTCTTGGTTTTCTGCCCCAAACCTGCTTTCCTTTCAGCTTCTGCATCTCTGTAAGTGGCACCTCCCCCAAACAACATCCAGTCCATTAAGAAATCCATTTGGTTCCATTGCAAACTATATTCCAGACACTACAGCTCTAATCTAAGGCGTGATTATTTCTGTAGTAGTTTCCTAACTCGTCTCTGTATCCATTGTTACCCTCTTTATAGTTCTTTCCCTGCAGGGCAGCCCAGAGTGATTTTTTAAAAGTGCAAATCAGGGACAATATAAGCAGAATACACTGTAGACCTCTTGTCAGCCTGTAAGATTCATTTTTTTTTTAAGGATTTATTTATTTATTTATTTATTTATTTATTTATTTGACAGACAGAGATCGCAAGTAGGCAGAGAAGCAGGCAGAGAGAGAGGGGGGAAGCAGGCTCCCTGCCGAGCAGAGAGCCCCATGTGGGGCTCGATCCCAGGACCCTGAGATCATGACCTGAGCGGAAGGCAGAGGCTTAACCCACTGAGCCACCCAGGTGCCCCAGCCTGTAAGATTCTTTATGTTCTGACTCCTACCTTGTCTCTGTTTCTCAGCTGGAACCATTCCAGCCTTACCTATCACGTTTCTGTTCCTTAGTTGAAGCAAGTTCTTTTTTATCTTAGGGTCTTTGCACTTGGCTCCCCAAAACATTCTTTCTCCAGATCTTTGCTTGCCTGACTGCTTACTCAGCTCGAATCACTGCCTGGAGTGGCCTTCCCCAAACACTATAGCTGAAGAGGTAACTTCTAACCCCTGAGCACTCTGTGTCCCATTTCCCTGGTTTATGTTTTTCCTTAACAATGTTAATGATTGGGGTGCCTGGGTGGCTCAGTGGGTTAAAGCCTGTGCCTTTGGCTCGGGTCATGATCTCAGGGTCCTGGGATCGAGCCCCGCATTGGGCTCTCTGCTCAGCGGGGAAGCCTGCTTCCCCCCCACCCCCTGCCCGCCTCTCTGCCTACTTGTGATCTCTCTCTCTCTCTCTGTGTCAAATAAATAAATAAAATCTTAAAAACACACACACACACACACACACAAAAACCCCCCAGAAAACCAATGTTAATGATTTGAATTTTCCCCATATATTTCTTTTCTTTTCAAAATTTGTCTTTCTTTATTAGACTATAATTATAAGGGCAGAGACCTTTCTCATTTTGTTCACTGCTAAATTCCCAGTGCTAGAATAATGCTTGGCTCTAGTAGGTACTTAATGAGCATTAAATGTTCTTAAGTGAATGATTGAATGAATTGGATTAAATGGAAACACTAGCAATATTTTGTATATCCATATTTTTATTGTTTGTCATTTTGACTAAGCCATCGTTTTTAATGGATTTAATGGTCATTTTCCTTCTCTCTCAACTAGCCATGTACACCTTCATGTGATCAGCCAGGATTTTGATTCTCCTTGCCTTAAAAACAAAAAACATTGGAATTCTTTCAATACAGAATACTTCCTAGAATCACAAGGTAAACAGAGTTCTTTAGTTTTCACATTTGTTTCATTTTCTCAGCTATTCTTATATTTGATTTAGTTGTTTCCCTAGAAAATTATCTGACCTCAAAAGCCCACATACAACTTTCTGTCCCTAGAAAGAGAGACCCATTAAAAGAAACTGGATTATTTGAATTGAGTAGTGTTGCCACTTTGCTTTGAGCAGCCTTCTTGAAGGGGCGGGGGTGGACCTAGAAAGCTGTTATGTCAGAGCCAGAAAGGTGTTTTATTGTAAAGACAGGGGACTTAAAGGTTGTCCTGAGAATTATTGGAGTTCATGGATGTGAAAGCTCTCAACAATTGTCTTTTTTGCCATCAGCTGGATAGGAGATTGGGGGCTGCCTCATGTCATGAGTGGTTAATTAACAGGGGAGGGTTGTGTGTATGTGGAAGACGGCATTTTCCAGGGTGTATACTGTGCAACTGCAGTATGCTGGGACATTAATGATTGCAGCTACCAAAGGCTTACCAGCGATAAAGCACTGTGGTAAGCACTTGACATAATAACATGGGTTGCTTACAGTGTGTCCCAAAGGAATGTAATTATTTCAAAAACAGGTTGCTCAGATTTAGAATCTGATCAAACACATTTTCCCCACAGTGAGTTTAACCTCAAGTTTACTAGCTTTAGGATACCTGGCATGTTTTTATTTGGAGTCAGATTTGCTTTTCTGGGGGTTATCTTACATTGGCTTTTCAGAGTAGATGGGTTTTGAACGTTTTTCTTTGCTTGCAGCTGTGATAGAGATGGTACAGGACACTGGCAGAGTGAGTGTCCGAGATGGGATGCCTGAGCTCTTGAAGCTGCCTCTCCGTTGTCACGAGTGTCAGCAGCTGCTGCCTTCCATTCCTCAGCTGAAAGAGCATCTCAGGAGGCATTGGCCAAAGTGATTCCATGGAGCCTGGACTTTTGCAGCAGGTGTGGCTGATTGTTTAGAACAAATTCCTTGCACCTGTTCTGGATTGCCTGTGAACTTTCATTTCTTGAATTAAAACATGCAGCCTTTTTTTTTTTTTTTTTTAAAACAAAGCTTCTGTTCCTGAGTGGCTACAATATGGGGTGGCTTGAAGTAGTTTAGGAATTAGGAATTTGGGTTTGTCATGGATGTGTTCTCTGATGATGGTGGCTGGGACAGGCCTTACCCCCAGTCTCCAGGATCCATGTCAAGTATGACTAATGAGGGGCAAAGTCATGTTCACACTGACCTAATGGAAGATATGGGAGAGGGTGGGCTATATATTTCTGTCCATGCATTTCATCCTTTCTCCCCAGAGGCATGTGGTACCCTTCATCAGAGCAGCTAAAGAGGTCTCATATTTATCCTGAAAGCTCAAATTGTTCTTGTTCTCTGATACTAATCTATTCTGTAATATTCTTTCCCTTTACTTTCTTCATGGAGAAACTTAGTTGCTTCTGTCTTTTCTATCTTCATCTGTCTTTTCTGCCCTTTCTATCCAAAACCACCAATGCTCCCTTCTCAGGAATTGTGTCTCACCAGTTCTTACACACTTTAAGCAAACAGGCTACGTGAAGGGGTGGAGAGATGGGGTTTTCTAATATCAGGGGTTCCTGGCTGGTGAGGAAATACTTGGCCAAATGTTCATCAGGTTCGGCTGTCAAGCCTTCTTGGTGATCTGCTTGGATCTTTCATCTGGAAGTTAAGTTTGTTTGGGGCGGCTCTCTTAGGTAGTTGAAACTGTTGGGAGTTCAGGTAACAGTCACAGATTTAGTTTGAAGCATGCAGAGGTCATTATAGACTGAAAAGTTGCACAGAACCCCATAGCTTCATTTTTCACTCAGAGCAAATTTAGATGGCACTGTTGGAGCATTTTGATTTTTGGTTAATGTCAGAACTGAAGGTAAAGGGAATTCTAAAATGTTTCTAATTACATTGGTGATCTATTTGAGGATGTGATTCTTTTTGCTCTTGAGTTAAAAAAAAATACCCTTAATAATAACATCTCTCTGGAGAAAACCTCAATCTATAGAGACCACATTTAACCTCAGTCTTTCACAAACAAACAAGATGTTATAGTGGTTTCTTGGTGAGCATGGATATTGTCATAATTAGTAGTAATTAATGATTACATTAGATTACTGTGTAACACTTGCTCAGCTCCTGTGTGTCTGGGCATTATGCTAAACACTTTGTTCAAATTATTTAATTTACTTCTCCCTGTATGTAATTCTGTGGGGTAGGTACCTTCGTGATGACCCTTTAAAGGATAAAAATTTAATCATCTATAAAGGTTGCTGGGCTTCAAAGTTGGTCTTAGTTCTGGTGCGTCAAACTCATTTTCCCTATTAGTTGAAGAATAGAAATGTAATACTAACCAGTAGGAGCCATAGACCCCCATAGACCCCCTTTGCTGACCAAAAGCTCTCCATGGCATTTCAATGATTTCTCTGAGGATTGTCTGTTCCTTTAAAGCCCCTTTTTCACATCTGATGCCTAAAAGCCCCTAGAAACCTTGAATACTTCCTAAAGGTATACTCCGTGGATGCCTGAGATCAGAATTGCTAGTTTCATTTTACAACCTGAATCACAATCCCTTGGGCCTAGGAACCTGTATTCTAAAACAAACATTCAGTGGGTACCTGAGTGGCTCAGTTGGTTAAGTGTCTGACTTCTGATTTTTCTCTTGGTTCATGATCTCAGGCCACATTGGGCTCCGTGCTCAGCATGGAACCTGCTTGGGAGTCTTGTTCTCCCTCTCCCTCTACCCCTCCTCCTCCTCAAGTATTCTCTCTCTCTCTCTCTGTCAAAACAAACAAACAAACAATAAAAACATTCAGGATGACTGTTATTCATACTAAAGTTTGAGAACCACAGTATAAATGAATTTCTGGCTTCATAGCACCTTGCATTTCTGAAACTCCTGGATTTGACTCTGCCCTGTGAAGATAGACACACCATTTTCTGGTTGCCTTGCTGGGCTAGTTGTAGGCTTTCCTTCCCTTTGCAGGGTCAGTTTTATTTCAGGATCCAGGGAAACCCTGGGCATTAGATAAGGGAGAATGACTTATTATTGGGACCAGTGCTTTGTTTCTACAGGGATTGGGAAGAGGCCCTCGGGCCCCATGCTTTTAGGGGCAAGGCCTAGAGCTGATGACTCTTCCTCTTGAGTGACTCCCATTTCTTCCTCCTGCTCAGAGGGCAGTCTCAAAGGCGTGAGTGACCTGGGATCTGTGATGAACTCATCTAACCTTAGGCTCAGAGCATATATATTTTTCTTCTTCTGGGTATGTCTCCGAGATATCCAGGTACAAATGGTCCTTTCAGGGACCAGACCATAGTTGAAATGGTCACTAAGTCCTTGCAGTTTCAGGGATGTTTTCTGGAGCCTGGAATGGTAGTCAGTCACATATGCTGGATATGGCTGGATATCAGAGATTCAGGGCTAATCTGTGTCAGAATTGGCCTAACTGCCTCTTTCTATCTCAGTAACTATAACTTTAAGATTTCCACAGTGCTCTGAAGATTATTCCGTAGATAAGAATAAAAAATATGATGAAGGCTATGAAGTTCACTCCCCAGAATAATGTAGGTATACGTATCTTATGTACCCTTGAGGTTCTTCCATAGATTCCCTAGGGGTCTGTGGACCCCAACTTAAGAACCTCTGCTCTGGAGAAAAAAGTCATCATTAAGCATCTGGGATTTTAGGAGGTGTCTGGGATCACTATGGAGGACTAGGGGAGAGACCTCATCTCTAGGATGTCCCTGGAATGCTCTCCTTTGATCTCAATGCTCCTTCCTCAACGTTTGGCACATGTACATCCTGAGGGCTTCTGACTTCTGGCTCTAGTTCAGCCACCACATGGAGACAGGAATCTTGGGAAATAGAGAAATCCTCAGTGGGTCTGAGGGGTTCAGGAACTGTGGCTGACAGACTTATCGTGAGCTATCTAAAAGGCAGTGAATCTACACTCCTAAAAGCAGTAATCTGCATTAATAGATCAGCTACCTCATGAACGTATCCCAGGATAGTGGGAGTTGTAATATCTCCTGGGTACACAGTAGGTTAACAGTCCAAACTGTGCTGGACTCTGTAAATAATCTCTGACTACAGCAAAGATTTCATTGAGGCCTCAGCCAGTGTACCTGAGAATTGTAGAACATTTAGCTAAACTTCAGAGAAGGTCCCCAGTGAACTTTTTAAACATAGATATTGCAAGAACATTCAATTTAATTTTCTACCTTATCAACAATGCTATGTAGCTTAGCATATTGATATTAAAATCAAAATGAAAATATTTGATAAGAAACTGCAACCAAATAGAAACTATATCACAGTGAGATATAATGAAGGGAAATTTGGAAGAGTGAGGTGACCACCTCTGCATTTTTTGTTCAGCCAGGCTACTCTGACCTTGAGTCATTGAATTTTTGGGACAGCAAATGTGAATAACGACTTTGAGGGGCCAGGAAAAGGCCATGAAATATTGAGGTATATAGACCCCTTACCACCCCCTCTCTCAAGCGGGCTTTTGTTACATTATCACTAGAAAAAGTGATCTTTCTTTGCCTTTTATGCCAGATGTATTATTATGTTACAATTGGATGGAGTCTTCTCAAGGTACAGGGCATACTGGGATGAAAACGCAGAACAAATGCATATAACTCATATTTGGGACTCCCAAGTTGTATTTCATCCGTTAGGGGTTATTCTCTTCTACCTTAGCTCCCATCATAGCCAGGCAAGGCAGCAGTTTTATTAAAATAAAATGGTCAAATATTATTCAGTTACTTTAACCCTAGCCAAGAAGCCAGTTTATAATTGAGTTCTTTTGTTGCTTAAAGAGAAGGTAGTATGACGACTGAGATGAACTGGAACCTGAAACTGTGCAAGTGAATACTTTATATGAGACCATGAAGAGTAAACCTTAAATAGTTTATAACAGATCTTAAGTCAGAGCTGGAGAAAAGGGCCCTCAAATTGCATTAGACTCTCTGAACTAGAGTAATCTACTCTTTATATCTTTTCATTTATTATTATCATTATTATTATTTTTAGCAAATAAACTCTACCATCAAGGAATGGGTTTTGGGTTTTAGAGTATCCTAATTAGTGGTCTGATGCATTGTTAGCATTGTTTAGGCCATTGTTGAGATGACTCATCAAATGAGAGCCACACTCAAGGGCCAGAGTGTTCCCTTATCAGCAGCTGCTATCTACCCAAACATCAGGGAAGGGAATGTGAGGCTGTGGAGCAGTGGGAAAGGAGTTTAGGAGTTTAGACCTCTAAGATTCTGGGCCATTCACTACTCAACTCATTTTCCTTTTCCATTTAAAAAATTTATTTTGAGACCATCTATTTCAACTTCTTCAATTTTTAGAAGGCAGCTGGGACTTGGAGATTTAAGGAGCTCATTTAGCAATTTAAACCAGATCTTGGCCTTTATTGCAGTCCTCCTCTCGACTCTTCCTAGATCCTCTTAGACACTTGCAGCTTTTGTTTGTTTGTTTGTTTGTTTATTAAGTAAATTCTGCCCCCAACGTGGGACTTGAGCTCACAATCCCAAGATAAAGAGTCCCATCCCATGCTCTACTGATTGAGCCAGCCAAGTGCCATAGACAGTGACGTCTTGAGAATAAGGATTAGCTACTCTCCTAAGTCCCACTTGCTTCTGTCCTGCTTCATAATATTTTTTTCATGTAAATGCAGAGTATGAAAAAAATCACCTTAGGCTTATATTTGAGGCTCAGCTGTGTTCCATGTTAGCTATGTGGCACTAGGGAAGTCATTTAACCTCTCTGGCCTCAATTTCATCGTCTATCAAATGGAAATAAAATATGTACCTCCCAGGTTGACTGAGGATTAAACAAGCATGAACATGAAAGGGGCAGGCACTGGGGTGGTCCAGCTCTCAATCCTATCTCCTCTGCCAAACTCTAACCCCATCTGATCTGTAA